AAATGAAACAATATAAGGTGTGTTCATTGGCATGTATGTATGGTACAGGGCAGAGGGCATTCGTCTGGATAGGAAGGGTAGCAAAGGCGCTGGAAAGAGTATTTGAGCAGAATCCTGAATGAAGTGGAAGAGTAACACGAAAATTTTAGGAAGAGTGATGTAAAAGTGAGGACAGAAGAGCCCTTAAGATGGGATGTATTTGGCATATTTAAGGAGTGAGAAGAAAACCAGACCAGAAATCATGGGAAAGGAAGGTGTGAAAGTCAACAGGACGGGGCTGGAAGGTGGCTCAGTGGTAGAGCGCTTGCCTTGCATGCCTGAGGCCCTTGGGTTCGATTCCTCAGCACCACATAAGCAAAAAGAAAAAATGGAAGTGGCGCTGTGGCTCAAGTGGTAGAGCGCTAGCCTTGAGCTGAAGAGCTGAGGGACAGCGCCCAGGCCCAGAGTTCAGGCCCCATGACCGGACCCAAAAAAAAAAAGTCCACAGGACCAGTTAAGGCCTGACACATGGTGACTGTGTGTGTGTGTGTGTGTGTGTGTGTGTGTATGTGCGTGTGTTGCTTTGGTAGTGCTAGAGATCTAATGCAGGGGGCTCAGGCAGGCTTGGCAAGTGCTCCACCTTGAGCACCCTTCACCCCATCCCTACTACTTTCTCTGCTAGGGATGGCTTTTTTTTTTTTTTTTTTGGCCAGTCCTGGAGCTTGAACTTAGGGCCTGAGCACTGTCCTTGAGCTTCTTTTGCTCAAGGCTAGCACTCTACCACTTGCGCCACAGCACCACTTCTGACTTTTTCTGAGGAATCAAACCTAGGGCTTCAAGCATGCTAGGCAAGCACTCTACCAATGAAGGGATGACTTTGTTTTGAACTTTGCATTGTGACAGTTATTGGAAGTGGGGTGTTAGTGGCTCACTCTTGTAATCCTAGCTACTCAGGAGGCTGAGATCTGAGGATCAAAGTTCAAAGCCAGCCAGGACAGGAAGGTTTGTGGGACTCTTATTTCCAGTTAGCCACCAAAAAGCAGAAAGTGGAACTATGGCCCAAGTGCTAGAGCGCTAGCCTTGAGCAAAACTGCTCAGGGACAGTGCCCAGACCCTGAGTTCAAACCCAAGTCCCAGGACACCCACAAAAAAGTTATTAAAGGGGTTTTGAAAGTGATAAAATATTTGCTAGTTATAGGAAAAATTACTTCAACTATTCTGCAAAAGTTTATTGTGGAGAGCAAGAGTGAGGCAGAGAGATCAGTTCGTGACCTTGAGGGTTGGCAACTCAAAGGAATGTATTGGTCACTTGGACCAAGGGGACTGTTTTGAGTAGAAATGACACAAGCTAAAGATGAAGCCCAGTGTTTGGGCATCAGCATCTGGGTAAATGTTGATGCATTCCGACCTCACTCCCTGCGGTCCCAGAGGAATAGATTTTAGAGACAGAAAATAAGATTTGCCATGCTTGATAGGTTACCTGGTGGAGATGCTGAGGAGGCATTTGGTGAATAAGTGTAACTTCAGGGGAGCTCTCTGGATGGAGATATAAACAGATGGGGTGAGAGCAGAGCAAAAACAAACACATAAAACTAAAATAAAATGGTTAAGAAGTCAGAATAGCCCAGGCTAGTGGCTCATGACTGTAATTCTAGCTATTCTGAAGGCTGAGATCTGAGGATCAAGGTTCAAAGCCAAACTGGGCAATTAACCACTGTTGCTAGATCTGCTGCATTTGCTTTTTTTTTTTTTTGTCAGTCATGGGGCTTGAACTCTGGGTCTGGGCGCTGTCCCTCAGCTCTTCAAGCTCAAGGCGAGCACTCTACCACTTGAGCCACAGCACTACTTCCGGTTTTCTGAGTGGTTTATTGGAGATGAGAGTCTCACAGCCTTTCCTGCTGGAGCTGACTTTGAACTGCTATCCTCAGATCTCAGCCTCCTGAGTAGCTAGGATTACAGGCGTGAGCCACCACATACAGCTTCAGTTGCATTTTTGAAGCAATGCAAGTGCAGGATCTTTCTAGATTTTTCTCCCATTTTCATAATTCTTTTAGTGACTCTTCAATAGGTCTGTGTTTGGTATTTAGCAGCTTGCTTTTACTGATTCTTTGTGGAGGATTCTTTGCAGAGGATTGCACCCAGAGAAGCAAAATCTTTCTATTTCCATGTTTCTGCAGTTTTTAGAATTTGGTCTGGGCACTGTCCCTAAGCTTTTTTGCTCAAGGCTGGTCTCTGCCACTTCGCGCCACAGCTCTACTTCCAGTTTTCTGGTGGCTAATTAGAGATGAGAGTCTCATGGGCTTTCTTACCCAGGCTGGCTTTGAACAGCAATCCTCAGATCTCAACCTCCTGAGTAGCTAGGATTACAAGCGTGAGCCACCTGTGCTCAGCTTCTGTAGTATTTACATAGTTGCCATGGTAGGTACCTATGTCATATCGTCAATAGATGACCAGTTCTTCATGAACATTCTTCTTTATCCAGGTAGAACTAGATAGTGGTCTGCAGTCAGGCACTTTGGGGTGTTGTTGGGGTGGGGGTGGGGAGCATTAGTCAATTGATGAGCAGAGTGTCTCATGGGAGCCAGCTGGAAGTCTTCTGTAAGTGTTTTGATGCTTGTCTTCTCTGTGAGAAGTTTTGTGTAGTAAAGATGCATCTGATTTGTACATGTTAATGTTCGATTCCGAGGGCCTACTACAGAACTTAGCATGTAGTAAACGTTCATAAAACAGGTGTTGAATGCATCCATGCCAGGCGCCAGCATCTATATTGACCTCAAATGCATTCTGAATTCTGATCCTCCACCGCAGGGGCCTCATGGCATCGTACATGATTTCATTCTCCTTGTTTCTTCTTCCATTAGTCTTTGCATCTCTTTCTGCTCTGTGCCAGCGTCCTTCAGTTTATTATGTACTGCAAGCTACTGTGTTGATCATCATTCCAGTTTTCTGACTAAGATTCATGACCAAATGTGTCACAGTTTTGCTGCCGTGGCACTCTGCCCAGAGAGCGAGGAGACTGCTAGGAAGGCAGAAAGCCATTCCTTACTTCCCTATTCTAGAGTTCAACCAATCCTAGAAACTGAAGTCTTCTGTTTCTTCACAGAGGAAACATGACAAAGGCAGTGGCTGTCCACGCTTCCTTCAGGGGCCAGTAAGCTGGAGCAGCTACTTCTAGAGGTGAGAGGGGAGGGAAGTCATCTCCATAACTTGTGTGGCTCACCGCACTGCAGACTTGTGGTCCTGAGAAACAGTACAGTTGCTATCCGGAAAAATTTCAAAACAAGCCTGTCTAGGATTGCTCAAGTGATATAAAGGTGGTCTTCGAGGAGCCTGCCATTTATATTTCTAAAATAGTTATTTGTGGCTAAATAATTCCACTGATTTCAAGATCTGATTTGTATGGACATTAGAAAAGGGTGATCCAAAGGCAGGCACTGGTGGCCCATGCCTGTAATCATAAACTGCTTGGGAGGATAGGGATGGGAATATCACTGTTTGAGGCCAGACTTGGCCAGAAAGTCCATGAGACCCTTTCTTAACCCATAGTTCGGTGCAGTTAGGAGTACATCTATTATTCTAAGGTATATTTGGAGGCTGAGATCTTTTTCTTTTTTTCTTTTTGTCAGTCATGGGGCTTGAACTCTGGGTAGAGGCTGAGATTGGAAAGATCATAGTGCCAGGTCAGCCTGGACTAAAAAGTCCATAAGATTCTGTCTCTGAGGAAGGGAAAGGAGGCACATGATGACATATACCTGTAAAGAAAGGCACGTCGTTGGGGGCTGGGAAGATGGCTCAGTGGTAGAGCGCTTGCCTTGCATGCATGAGGCCCTGGGTTCGATTCCTCAGTACCACATAAGCAGAAAAAAAAAAAGCCAGAAGTGGAGCTGTGGCTCAAGTGGTAGCGTGCTAGCCTGGAGCTGAAGAGCTGAGGGACAGCACACAGGCCTGGAGTTCAGGCCCCATGACTGGACCCCCCCCAAAAAAAGAAAGGCACATCATGGCTCAGATACACGTCTGGGCCAAGACTACCTCAAAACTAATGAAGTGGTTGGAGGAATGGCTCAGTGGTATCATGTCAGTCTAGCAAACATGAGGCTGTGAGTTCAAACTCCAGCACTGACAAAAGGAAAAAACAAAAAACGAAGGAAGGAAGGAAGGAAAGAAGCAAGATCAGGGTTATGTTTGCCCGAAACCTAATCATTGTTATTTTTATGGAGCAGTGCCTATTTGCCAAACACTGTGTCAAATTCTAATCGTTTTTCTCCAGTTTCCATAATAAATGTAAGATATGTCTCCAATATATAGATGAGTAAAGGGAGAGGTCAAGAGGGACTAAATGCTCTCGGTCACACAGCCTGAGCAGACCGAAGATCCAAACCCAGCCCTGTCTAATTTTGGAATTTAAGCTCTTAATCACTGACATTGTTCTCTAGTGACACAAATTTGAGCTCTAAAAATGGTGCCTTTTTTGGTGAGGGGGTCAGTAATCCAAGACAGCCTTGATCTCCCAAATGGCCTGTCAGGAACAAGGTGGTATTATCTGTTCCTGCTCCTGGATGGCTTAAGCTGGGGTGTCATTCATAGCAAGGGGCATCTCCCTTAAAAGATAGCCTACTTCACAAATAAAAAAAAAAAAAGATAGCCTACTTGGGGCTGGGAAGATGGCTCAGTGGTAGAGCACTTGCCTTGCATGCTCGAGGCTGGGTTCGATTCCTTGGCACCACATAAGAAAAAAGCCGGAAGTAGCGCTGTGGCTCAAGTGGTAGAGCACTAGCCTTGAGCTGAAGAGCTGAGGGACAGTGCCCAGGCCCAGAGTTCAGGCCCCACGACTGGACCCCAAAAAAAAAAAAAAGTTGGCCTACTTTTATGGATCTTCAGAAAAGCCCAATGAATGCTAATTCCTTTTTCTATACATTGACTCCTTCATTTATTCATTCATTCAGTAAAAATAAACGCACATCTTTTTTTTTCTTTTAACTTGATGACCCTTTGAATTTGAATAAGAATGTCTTCATTTCCAGTCCAAATTCATGTGTGTTAAGAAGTCAGGGGAATTCTTTGAAGATGTTCTTAAATTCAACGAGAAGGGGGACATGTTTTTCAATCCAGGACAGATTGTTCTAGAATTTGGTGCCAGTAGGAGTTAGTAAAGTCAATACAATTAAATTAAATAGGAAATAAATGTCTTTTATTAGCAAGGCCTTAGGTGAGGTGACAGTTGCTCACTCTTCTGGGAAACAGAATTACTGTCACCTGGCGGTCACTCATTGGCTTCTTTTACTGCATCATGTCCCAGGGAAAAAATAATTAGCTCTTCTTTGGATAAGATCTTCCAAAGATAAAACAATGTTTTCCCTAGAACTTTATGACTCTTCCATTTCCTATGATTAAATTGTGCTATTTATTCAACACTTACTAAGAGTATTGTATATCAAACTTTGTGCTAGTTTCTGAAGCTTTTGATGTGAAAGTGAAGCCTGGCCCTTGAGAAACTCCCAGAGGAGTAAAAATCACACAAAACAGACTTTGAGAATTACTCAGGTAATACAAATGGGGTCATGCTATAGATGAATATCATTTCAGTTTTTTGTTTGTTTTGATCAATCATGGGCTTGAACTCTAAGCTGCTGTCCCTAAGCTGCTGCTTCATGTTGTGTTTTGTTTTGTTTGTCAGTCATGGGGCTCGAACTCGGGGCCCAGGCATTGTCTGTCAGCTCTTCAGCTCAACGCTAGCGCTCTACCACCTGAGCCACAATGCCACTTCCCATTTTTGAGTGGTTAATTGGAAATAAGAGTTTCATGGGGACTTTTCTGCTCAGGCTGGCTTTTAACCTCGATCCTCAGATCTCAGCCTCTTGAGTAGCTAGGATTACAGGCATGAGCCACTGGTACCCGGCCATTTCAGTTTTCTTAATGCATTTAGGGTGACTTACTTTTTATAACTCTAACTCTAACTATATATATTAGTTATATAGTTATATATGATTCTGTGTGTATGTGTATTCATGTGTGTGTGTGTGTGTGTGAGAGAGAGAGAGAGAGAGAGAGAGAGAGAGAGAGAGAGAGAAAGAGAGAGTTGAACTCAGAGTCTAGGCCTAGGCACTGTCTTTTAGTTTTTTCACTCAAGGATGGAACTACCACTTGAGCCACACCTCTACTTTTGGCTTTTTGATGAGTAATTGGAGCTAAGAGTCTTTCAGATTTTCTTGCCTGGGCTGGCTTTGAACCTTGATCCTCTGATGTCAGCCTACTGACTAGCTAGGATTACAGGTGTGAGCCATTGGTGTCTGGTGCATTTGTTCTCGAGGTTTCTAGGGATAGGAAAGGGATAGGAAATGGAAGAGCAAAGCTCCAAGACTTACTTTTTTTCAAGACAAAGAGGAGCATCTTAAAATAGTTTTATCCTTGTTTTTTTTTCTTCAAGCTTATTTGTGCAAAGTTGCAGGAGAGATGAATGTGTTAAGTAAGAATTCAGAGTAGGTGACTTTCCCCTCCAGTTCCAAGATTCAATGAATGACAATGGCACTAATCAGTGGCTGTGTAGCAACCACCGTTCTGCACCCTTTTTCTCCATTGTGATCATTGGGAAGGACTTTCAGAAAATAGGACAGTTTAATGAAAAAAGAGAATAAGGGCTTTCTTCTTCCTCTTTCTCCTCCTCCTTTTGTTGCTAGTCTGGGCCTTGAGCTCAGGGCTTGGGAAGTTTCTTGAGCTTCTTTTGCTGAAGGCTAGCACTCTACACTTGAGCCACAGCGCCACTTTTTTTTTTTTTTCCTGAGTGGTTTATTGGACATAAGAGTCCCATGGACTTTCCTGCCCAGGCTGGCTTTGAATTGCAATTCTCAGATCTCAGCCTCCTGAGTAGCTAGGATTATAGGCAAGAGTCACCAGTGCCCAGTTTGAGCTTTGGAAGTTTTGGCTCACTATGACTATTACCAGAAGGATCCATCCTTATACGCAAGTTTATATAATTGCTCTTCTTGTCTCCTTGTACGGCACAAATCCCCTAAGAATTTAATTCCATCGTATGAAGTAGTCTAGTCACAGAAACAAAGTTTAAATGATGATAGGTCCAAAAACTGAAGCTCAGGGAAGAAACAGAAATGCAAGTCATAAAACAAAAGCCCTGCTATTTCGACACCAGAAGTATATTTCTCTTTCTCTTTTTAAAATCTTCCACTATTACTAGATATGTTGGACCATTACCCAACTAGTGTGACCAGTTCTCATTTGTCATCCCTTCCACAGCTATAAGGCTACAGGAAGACGAAAATGGCCTCGTTGGTGCTAAAATAAAGCCCTCAGTTCTGTAGACGAACTACCTGTCCCTTGGGAAAGATGCAAGGTTCCCATCAAGGCGGCCTGGGAGCCATCTTTTGTGTTAGGCATGCTTTCCATTGCAGATCATTTACTAGGAAAACATTCCAGGGCGTGTACAGTGAGCGTTACAGACCACCAAAAAAGATGCCCGGCATGCCTCAACTATTTATAAGAAAATATTTCCCCAAAAGATGGGAAAATCCACATCTTTAAATACTCTGGGAGAGAAGAAATCATGGAAAAAACTCTTCCGTCTTGGTTCTGTTGGTTCATAGGATTTTTTTTTCTCTCTCACACAAATCCAAAGGATTTGTGTGAATTAAGCAATTCATATGGTAACTGGAATTTTCTATTATTGCCTCATATCGGATTTCTGGCAAAAGGATTTTACAGGAAGACTGAAGAACAAGCAGGTGGAGGTAAGGAGTCTGGGCCTGCCTACTTGTGCTGCCTGGGAGCCTTCTTAGGTATGAGTCAGAGGATGGTCTTAAACACAGTGCTTGTAAGACTTTGTCTTCTTGTCTTTCAAACACTACAGTGCAGTTAAGTTTTTGTTCTGAAAGGTTACTTGACTTGCTCTGTTATTTCCACTAGGACTGGCCTTCAAAAAGAGAAGGCTTAGCCAATCTGTGTAAAGAGGCACACACCTTCACTAGTCTATCTTCATAGATAATCGATTGTCTATTGTCTTGACCTTGGGAAGTAAGATCTTAGTCTAGTTTTCTTCCTTCCTTCCTTCCTTCCTTCCTTCCTTCCTTCCTTCCTTCCCTTCCTTCCTTCCCTTCCTTCTTCCTTCCTTCCTTCCTCCCTCCCTCCCTCCCTCCCTCCTTTCTTTCTTTCTTTTGGTCAGCTGTCGGTCTTGAACTCTGGGACTAGGTGCTGTCCCTCAGCTTTTCAGCTCGAGGCAAGCTCTACCACTTGAGCCACAGTGCCACTTCTGGTTTTCTGGTGGTTTATTGGAGATAAGAATCTCCCGGACTTTCCTCCTTGGGCTGGTTTTGAACTGTGATCCTCAAATCTCAGCCTCCTGAGTAGGTAGGCTTATAGGCATGGGCCACCGTTGTCCAGCTAGTTTCTTTTAATACTGGCTTTCTCAATCCCCTTGTGGCGTGGATCCTGAGTCTCTTCATCAGAGTACAACCAGGGAAATGGCATCAAATACACACACACACACACACACACACACACACACACACACACACACACACACACACACACACACACACACACACAGTCACCAAGGGATTTATGCTAAGTACCTGGCTTATGTTTTATGAAGCTCTAGGAGTCTGACGTGGACAGGACTGGCCTTCAAAAAGAGAAGATCTCAAGCAGGCCAAAACTCACAGGCATCTCTCTTTTAGTTTTTTTTTTTTTTAAGCAATCATACGTGTAGTCCAGGCTGGCCTTGAATACTCAATCCTCCCGCCTCAGCCTCCCAAGTTCTGAAATTACAGGTGTGCGTCACTATGCCCAACTTTTGACGCTTTTCTCTACAAATGGAATGTGGTCTTTCTTTCAGAAAGCCTTCCTCCTGCTCTTAAGCCTTCTGGCTGATTAGGTCAGGTCCACCCAAACTAATCTCCCTTACTTAAAGTCAACCCCTCATGGACTTGAATTACATTCACAAAATCCCTTCAATGGCCACACTTAGCTCAGTGTTGAATTAGATGACCAGGAACTCTTAAATCAGTCCACATTGAGAGAAGCCAAAATAAAAATGTTACTGCCATGGAAGTAGCTCTTCAGACGTTCAGTAAATCAAGGCTGTGCTTTCTGCTGCTTTTTAAGTTCAGTCTGAGCATTCGATTTTATAATGGCCCTTCTAGCTAGGTTAGTTCTTCTTGTCAGGATTGGAACCTGCTCTTGATTTTTAAAAGTTGTGCCTAACCAGGCATGCCTGTAGTCCCAGCTACTCAGGAGACTGCGATGGGAAGAACACTTAGGCTCAGGAGTTCAATAATCAGCCTGGACAACATGGCAAGATCCTGTCTCAAAAAAGAAAAGGACAAGAAAAGCCAGATGTGGTGGTTCACACCTGAATCCTAGCTACTTGAGAAGTAGAAGTCAGGAGGATTGCCAGTTGGAGGCTACTCAGACTGAGAGTCAGCAAGATTCCCATCTCAATCAACAAGCCAGCTGTAGTGGCTCATATCTGTAATTCTAGCTACAATTGGAGACATGAAGGAGGATCATGATCTGAGGCTGTCCTTATCTGAAAAACAAAAGCAAAAAGAGGGGCATGGCTCAGTGTAGATCTCCCACCTAACAAGAGGGAGGTTCTGACTTTAAACATCAGTTTCATCTGAAGCAATTTTCTGTTGATTGAAAGATGTTTTCCAGGCTGGGAAGGTGGCTCAGTGGTAGAGCGCTTGCCTTGCAATGCATAAGGCCCTGGGTTCAATTCCTCAGCACCACATAAGCAAAGAGAAAAAAGCCGGAAGTGGCATTGTGGCTCAAGTGGTAGAGCGCTAGCCTTGAGCTGAAGAGCTGAGGGACAGCGCCCAGGCCCAGAGTTCAGGCCCCACGACCACCAAAAAAAAAAAAAAGATGTTTTCTTATTAGTTGCCATCTTGTGAGCTCTTTCTGTTATTTAAACTTAAAACCTAAAGTTTAAGAGTCACTGTCTACAGAAAACTGTATACCCTTACTTCATGAAGAAAGCTGTTAAAATGATCCAAAGGTAGGCAGATGGTGCAAAAAGGTTCTGGCTAGAAAAGGACGATCGCAAAAGAGAGGCCTTGGTGGTGGTGCCATGTTCTTTAGTGGGCCTGGGCAGCAGCTTCTGGGCTGGTTTTACACCATTGCCGTTGGGG